ATGGTTGTCAAGGATTATCTAATTATTTTATGTATTCCTAGTTTTCACTTCCCCTACCTTGTAAAGCCTCCCAACAAAACACAAAATGCTGTTGGCATGCTAAAATCTCATTCAATCCTATAGACAGTCTAGCAAGATTTTGTTCAGAAAATTGGTTCAGCAGAGGATAGCTATAAAGTGCTATGAAGATTGCAGCCAATTTACTTGAAGTTAGTAATGATGACAATGATGATGATGATGCCAATTATGATAACAGCATTCTGAAACTCTGAAGCATTTTCTCAATGGCTCATCTGTGTAGGATAAGCCTAACAGATATTAACAGTAATCCTCTCATTAGCATGAAAGTCAGCAAGTCATGGCTCAAAATGTGCTAAGGACTTCCTGGCGGATGCCCAGAGTGATGCACCAGTGTGACTTTAAAGGGCTGAAGGATTCTTTCTTGCCTCCTGGGAAGACTCTCAATGGGTTTGCATGGTAGAGTGGAGCCATAGAAATAACTGTGGGGCATGATTCATCTCCTTGGAGCTTGTCACTTTCTCATCAAGTCCTACTCTTCATAAGTGACTGACTCTGAAAACTAGGCAATCTTATCCACCAGATTCTGCTGGAAGGCAGGTGGCTTGCTCTGGTTGAGTGGTGGAACAGAAAGCTTGGCGTGGCGGTACCAAGGACACCAATTCTATGAGGCAGGTGTAGCCCACTGGCTGTCTTCCTTCCTACACCACCTAAGGATTGCTCTGAGTTTGGGGGTCCTACATCAGGCTAAGGATTGAATCTCTGGTGGAATGACAACGTCCACAAACCTCGTTCATGTGCTCAGTGGAAGTCCACCCACAGTCTTTAAGAAAATCACCAAGGATGAAAAGTATGAGTTTGTGGGTATAAAGAGGACATTGTGGGCCCCCCACTTAATGATTATGCGCTACAGCAGACGCCTGAAGTACCTTCTCACTTTTCTAAAGAGAAAGGTCCAACAACATTGGTATTAAGAATTAAATAACACCGAATTATTATCTTTTTTTAGTTGTTAAATTGACAAAGAAATGACTTTGCCCACATTCTTACTCTGCAAATTCACAGCTTAACGGGGACCCAGGTCTCCAGGGGCAGCCAGTGCCCTCTCCCTGAACACAGGGACTCATGTTTCATTTACTATTATTTATTTATGATTATTTAATAAAGTTTACTGCTTTTCTATTATAAAAGTCATTAGTGCTCCATACAGAAAATATATTAGATACCAAAAAAAAAAAAAAATGGAAGCAAGAAAAACTATTACCTGTAGTCTCAACATTCACAGCTGACTACTACTAAAAACTAAAAGGTGGACGATATTCCTCACAAAGTTTTTTTGTTCTATTTTTTTGAAGCAGCATTTGTTCCTGTTTTGAAATAGAATTAGAATGCTATGACACATGGCAACAACTTTGTTACACTTTTGCTTAGCATCTTACCATGCACACCTTCCTATCTGTTCATTTACTTTCTTGAAGCATCAAGGCACTCTTTTCAACTGTTCTTGTCCCAAATGACAGTTCCAATGCCCCATCATAAAAAAAAAAAAAAAAAAAAAAAAAATCACACCACTTGTGGCTGCCCAACTCCAGGTCAAAAATTCCCTACTCTGTTAGAACTTTAGTGCTCTCTCTGTCTTCTGCCACAGAGAACTCCAGGGAGAAAGGAAATCAATGTTTATGAGAGGTTTTGCACTTCTGGTTAAGAGCTAGATGGCTAACAAACCTCTCTCTCCCTTAAACGGCCTCTTGGGATCCAATTCTGTGTTTCTTGTGAGCCTAGGATGTGTCCATGCAACAGCCTGGCATCCTTCCAGCAGCTTCACCACCTAGAGAGGAGACACACAGCTGATTCTACTGTTACCATCCTGATTAATGCCTAAAATCTTCTCTGGAATAACACCACCTGCTGCAGCCCAGAGTGTTGTTTCTAAAGCCCTCTTCAATGTTTCCTGGAGTCCCCAAGAAAAACAAACACCCATTTGCCACAATCTTTCAAATCTGTTTCCTACAAAATAAGGACAACAGAGGATTCCAGTTGTTACACAGTCTGTGAAATGACATAAACATTTTGTATCTCATTTAGACCTGTGCTACAGAATTAGGAAGAAATAAAACCATAAAAATTTTGCTGCATACCCAAAAAAGAAAGAAGAAAAGCATCAAGCATCCTGACTGTACTTACAGGCTAGAGGATCTTTAAGACCCAAACCAAGCCTTTACCTTTAGGGAAGGCTTCCTGGAAGAGGGGTATCTGAGTCAAGGTACTAAGAATGAGTCGGAGCTACCTATGAGGGGTGAGGGCAAAGCATGGGACCATCTTGGTAGAGAATGAGATGAGCCATTCCACTGAAGCAAAAAGCAGGATGGTGAATCTGCTTGCTTTTTCTGCTAAAGTATGGAAGAGGCACAGAGGGAGAGCTGTGAGCAACTTGGCTGGAAAGCTGGGGAGGGAACAAATCTCTCCAAAAAACCCCAATCAGCCCAGGTTGCATGTAAAATGTTATATCCTGGTGGGGTTCACAGATGAGTAATTGTGCTTGCCACAGTTTTGTACAATATTAAAATTCCTATAGGTAAACAGAGATATGTAAGCAAATGCTTTTTTAGCAATTTTCACTCTTGAATCTTTCCTCATTTCATTTTCCTGGCCAATAAAAACGTATCTCCAAATAATTTCCATCCTTTCTTGCTTTTAATTTTTAATTTTATTTTGAATGCACAACACTTATTTGACACATAAAAATTCTGCCTATGTATGGGGTGCAGAATGATGTTTTGATACATGTATTCATTGTGTAATGATCAAATCAGGGTCATTAGCATATCTATCATCTCAAACATTTATCATTTTTTTTGTGGTGCAGACATTGAAAATTCCCTTATTGTTGTTTTGAAATATACATTATTTTTAATAATCCCCCTACTATGCAAGAAAACACCACAACGTACTCTTTGTAACACACTCTTTGTAACTTTGCATCCATTGACCATATCCATTTGTAAATTCAGATTATTAGCAAGCCTCATCCCAACAGTAGGAGATAAACTGTGTATGTTTGAATTGCTCTGTTTTTTCATAGGTGTGTATGTGCATGCTTGTGTGTGTACAAGTGTGTCTGTGTGTGTTACAATAAGCTTTATCCATCAGACTTCATTCCCTACATACCTTTTCATGGATCTGTGGCATGGTCCGTGCTTTTCATGATGTCAGGAATGACATTCCTCTTCTGCTTCCCCCACTTCAGTTCTTGCTGATCTTTCAAATCCAAGACCCTCTCCTTGAAGCCGTTTGCAATGACCCAAGCAGTGTTAATTGCTCCCTCTGTTCTCCCAGTGCATTTTCTTTCCATTTTGAGCTCATAAGATACTGCTTCTCAACCACAGCTATATATTAAAATCATTGGATTGCTTTGCAAATATACCTTGGCTTTGGCTTCACCCTTGAGCTCCCGATGCCATTGTTCTGGGGTGGTGTCTAGGAATCAGTATTTTAAAAAAATCTCTCCAGATGATTCTAATATGAATCAAGATGGAACACTAGTTATCCTAAGAAGGTATTTGTTGACGTGTCTTCCTCCCCTGTTAGACGTTGTGGTGTTCATTTTGTGTCAAATGTGACTAGGCCATAGTACCCAGATATTTGGTCAAATACTAGCCTAGAGTTTCTGTTAAGGTGATTTTTAGATGAGATTAAAGCTTAAATCAGTAGTCTTGGAGTAAAGCAGGTCACCTTCCATCATGTGGGTGGGTCTCTTCTTGTGCATTCAGGGAAGAGGGAATTCTGACTCCAGGTCACCTTCGGGCTCCAGCTACAACATCTACTCTTTCTTGGGTTTCCAGTTTTGAGTCCTAACCCTGAGGATTTTGGACTTGCCAACCTCCACATTTAGGTGGGCCAATTCCTTAAAATAGATCAATCTCTCTGTCTCTGACACATGTGTATTTAAATATACATAGGCACACATACAATGGCCCTGTTGGAGCCCTGACTTATACAAACTGTGAGCTGTTCCAGGAGCACAGTGGTGCCTTGTCCCCACCACTTCCCCAAGGGCCTGTACAATTATTGGGCATGTAGACAATATGGCATGTGGGTCAGCAAGGGCCCTCAGGCTTATGTGATGGAAACCAATCTGATTAGCTTGAGTAAGAGGGGAGAATGTTATAGGGATAGCATGATCAGAGGACAAGGCCATGCTCAGATCTTGTTGAAGGGCTAAATGTTCATTAGGACTCTGGTCCCATCTCCTGGCTTTGCTTCTCCTTGTTCATAAACTTTCTTTCTCTTACTCTGCTTTTGTAGCCTTTGCCCTTGTAGCTCTGTCTTCTAGTTGCTCAGGCTGAAAATCTTGGGTTTTTTTTTGTTGTTGTTGTTTGGTGCCAAGGATTGAACCCAAGGACACTAACTATGGAGTCACATCCCCAGCCCTTTTTATTTTTTATTTTGAGACAGGATCTCCCTAAGTTGCTTAGGGCCTTGCTAAGCTGCTGAGGCTGGCCTTGAACTTGTGATCCTCCTGCCTCAGCCTTCTGAGCTCCTGGGGTTACAGGCATGTGCCATCATGCCTGGCTTGGCATCCTGTTTGATTCTTCCCTTTCTCTCATTCACATTATCATTCAGCAAATGCTACCTTTACCGTATTTCCAGAGTCCAAAGACTTCTTATTACTAAAAAACTACCACCTTTTACACAGATTATTGTCATACCCCTTCTGGCCCCCACATGTGATCCTCAGAGCCTTCAGTGGAAGAATCATGCTGAGAGCCACGGCCGAGTCTGTATGGCCCCTGGCATTTTGCCAACAGTATTGATTGACAGGCAAGGCATTACTATCCGCCTCTGCCGCAACTTTTGAGTTCTCGCACTATTTTGGAGTTCTCATGGGGATTTCCGGGGATTCCCCGAGAGTTCCCATTGGTTGGGGACGTGCAGGAGGAGGGATTTCCAGGAGAGAATTTTCCGGCTGGGGGTTGCTGGACAGGCCTCGTGGCGCGTTGGGGAGGATTCCCCGGGAGCTGTGTGAAGTGTTTTCCTGCAGTTTAAAAATAAAGTTTGTTCCTGCTTCAGTGGCTCATGATTTGTGCCCAGCCAGACTGCGGCAGAATCAGATATCATTTCAATTTTTCAGGTAAGAAATATGAGAAGCAAAATAAGTGTCTAGCTTAAAATAATGCAGATTGCAGAAATTAAATTTGGGACTCAAACCTACTGGTTATAGGTTATATCAGGGTTTTTTTTTCCTCTTTACACCAGTGTATTTACAAACTAAATTTAAAATTAAGACACTGTTTCCAAATGACATTTTAATTTAACTCTAATATTAATTAGATATGGACAGTGTTATGCTGGTTGGAGGGCAGAATTGACCTCTAAGACATTGTGGCTCTGTGTGATAGAGTGACAACCAGTGCCCTGCATCACAATTAGGCATTGAAGGCCTGAGAAATGACCACAGAGAAAATAGTTCCCTCTCTCTGGAAGTGGAGCTCATCTGTCATGCAGTCACTACTTGAACAAATTCCATGCCGCTCAATCACAGCATTTCCTTTCACACCCTGAAGTTGAACCCATTTTTGCTGCTATTTTTACTCTAAAATAGGAAAGAGAGGAGGGTATCATGCACCTTGACAAGTTGCCACCTGACAGACTTCCAGACAGTCTTATTAATTTGTGAGATTGGTATCTGAATTTACCAAAGAACACAGGCAAGATGAATCTTGGGCAACGTTCAATGGCATCCTAAGTAGCTCCCTTTATAGAGTCATTCATTGCTTTGCTGAAAAGGGATACTTTAGCAAGGGGGCAAAGTCAAGGAGCAGAAAGGCCATGGGTGGGGGTCTCAAGCCAGTCAGTGATGTGGTCCCATGTCTTATCCCCAGTGACTTTTTCTTTAAGATTCTATTTTTTTAAGTTGTTGATAGACATTTATTTTATTTATATATATGCAGTGCTGAGCTCAAACCCAGTGTCTCACATATGCTAGGCAAGTGTTCTACCACTGAGATATAACCCCAGCCCCACCCAGTGACTTCTGAACAAGCCATGGTATCATGAAGTTAGCATGAGCTTGGTAGCTTCATGTCACATTACTTACAAACACAACAATGTTAAACATTTACAAAACATTTGTATTGCTATTATTTTTAATTTTCAGAGTTGGAACTAACCTCTACCAATTCCTGAAGAAGAAAGACCAAGCAGCCGCTAGTGCCCCAGCTCCTCCCCGATATACATCCTGGGGTGTAATCAGGTGACTGTGTATAAAACAGAGAAGTGTACACCTTAGGAGTAAACCCATTCCAGTCTGTTTTAGTTTTGACTATTATCAGTGACAGGGGCTAAACAACAGCTATTCCTGCATCAGACAGGAAGGCAAAGGCCTGATAGATATTCAGCCACATGGTACAAGGTCAAATCCTGGCTATTCAATTTTTGTCCAAATTTTAAAATTTTATCTTCTGTGTTCTTTTCTTTCAAGTTTTTGATCTCTGCTCAGTATTGCATTCTAAGTAATTTGATCATATCAATCTTCCAATTCTCTAATTCCTCCTTCAGGGACAACTGTGTCTAGTCTAGTCTTTTAAAGCATTTATTTTTTGGATTCTCCCCAAGTTAATAATGACTAGCTTCAATCTACTCCAAGAAAAACAAAGTGAAGTCTGTACTAAACATTTCTTTTTTATTTCAAAGCAAACAAAACAAAAAGTTGCAGGGTAACAACCTTACTAACAATCAAATGAAATAGAATTAAAATAACAATGTAATACTTTCTCTTTTTAAGGAAACCAGTCATTAGTAGTCAATGCTGGCAAGGATGTATGTAAAATATTTCTCTCGTATGCAGGTGTCCTTTATAAATTACTATAATTGAAAGGAAAGTGAGAAAGTGAGAGATGGGTGAGCAAGAAATGAAGGACAGAGACCAGGCAGAGAGCCACACGAAAGTTTGTCAAAGCTGAAAAATAAAGGTCACCCCTCTATAGAGTGGAGAGAGGCCCCCCGAGATGTTTGGGCCTTGAGCTTTTGTGGGGCAGGGGTTTGGAGGTGTGGCTCTGGTGCTGTGGGCCAGGCTCGGGGTGCTTGCATCAGATCAAGGTGGGTGGGAATAGCCTGGGATTGGAGTAGGTCCATGGCACCATGGGGCATTCCAGAGTCAAGGGGTCCTGTCCTTCTAGGATTGGCTTAGGGTTATGGTATCTTGGGGTAGGTCACTAACGGGGATGGGGTGAGTTCAAGAGGAAGTACAGGAAAGCGAAACTTATCTCATAAGATGGTGGCTAACATTTAAGATGGCTGCCCAGATGTTAAAAATCAAGACCCTATAATAAGAGAGTAAAAAGCAATTCTAAATATATATAAGAAGCTTTACCTGTAATTTGAGTTTAAGAAACAAATAATACAGCTAATACTTTGGAAATCACATTAAGTTAAATTATATATGGAGTAAAAGTTATTACTACTATTAACTATACTATTAGTAATAACTATTACTAATCTGTTAGAAAAATAGATACTAGTAATTACTATATAAATTATAGATGGAGTATAAGTTATTACCATAAAATAGAAAAAGATTTGAACAGTATACATATATGGGGTGTCGGATTGATAGGGTAATATTTTTCTTTTTTATAACTTTTCTTTTCTTTCTGTACTGGAGATTAAACCCAGGGTCTTGCACATGCTAAGCAAGTGTTCTACCACTGAGCTATCCCCCAGTTCTATAATTTTTCTTATACTACTATTTTTTATTGAGGAAAAATTCACATAAAATAGAATTATACATTTTTAATGTGCACAATTGAGGAGCATTAAGGATACTCACAATGTTGTGCAGCCATACCCTCTGTGTAGTTCAAAAATATTTGACTCCTGTACCCATTGATCAGTCTATCCACACTTCTGCCTCCTCTCCAATTCCTGACAACCACTAATCTACTTTCTGTCTCTACGTATTTACCTATTCTGGATATTTTGTATAAATGGAATCATAAAATATGTGACATTTTGTGTAGACCTTTTTTTACTTATATGAGGTTAAACCATGTTGTTTCATGTATTAATATATCATATCTTTTTTTTTGGCTGAATACTGTTCCATTGTATGGATATACCACGGTATATTAGTCTATTTTTTCATCCATGGACATTTAGGTTGTTTCTAACTTTTTGGCTGTAATAAATATGCTGCTATGAGCATTCATTTTACAAGGTTTTTTTTGGAGAAATACTTTCAATTCTTTGGGACCTATACCTAGGAGTGCTTTTATAAACATACAATTAATTGTTCAGTGAAGGCATATTTATTGATTTTTCTGTCTCAGTTTGTGTGCAGCCTCTTAGGAGAACCATATAGTAGAATTTTCCACTACGACTATCCTAAATGAAAGTCATGGTAAGTATGTGAGTTTCTGTTTCACGGTGGTCCTAAGGAGTGGGCGCTTAGATCAAGTGATGTTCAAAATTCAGGCCAGGAAGCATCCGGTGAACCATGTAGTAGCAACCAGAAAACAAGTCAGTGCTGTTTACTGCTGTTAATTTTGTAATAGACTCGTGGAGATATGAGAGTCCTTGCATAAGATTTAAGGGAAAAAGAGGACTTTTAGGTCTGTGTGGACCTGAAAGTAGACTTCCATGAACCTTGGATGGCAGCCTTAGACCTTGTCTGGAGGTGGGGAATGAGAGGGAGAGAGTGTACTGCCCACTATCCTGGAAGGCCTTCTCCTCACACATTGAAGACTCCAATCTGGCTTGGTGATTTGATGGTGACCTAGGCAACTGATGTTGTAGGGCTTTCATGGAAGGCTCCGCTGTGTGTGTGTGACAACTTAGGAATAGTGGACTTTGCAATGCTCTTGGGAAAAAAAAAATAGGTTCTCATCTGGAATTTGCTTCTGTTTTCATCAGAGAGTTGATCTTTTTAAAAATATTTATTTTTTAGTTTTAGGTGGACACTATATTTTTATTTTTATGTGGTGCTGAGAATTGAACACAGTACCTCATGCATGCTAGGCGAGCACACTACCCCAGTTCCCCTGAGAGTTGATCTTAAAGTTATAAATACGGCCTGAATACCCTCTGACTTTTATTTCCAGCAAGAAGAATAAAATCTCAGGGAAAAGATTACAAATGGAGGAAACAATTCCCTTGATAAAATGGATAGAAATTCATTTACATATGATTTTTGACTATCAGACATTGAAGCCCATGAGAACCCCTGGAAAGATATTGCAAAGATATTGCGGTCAGCCAAAAAAATACTTGCCTGAGAAATACTTGTTCCTCTTAATGGGAAATGAAGATTAATCCCAACTGGGCATCAAACATCAGCCAAGTGCTCAGTAAGTATTGAGACAGAAAATATTGCAGGTTTTTAATCAAAGTTCTTACTGGATCACAGTGATGTTCCAGGTTAGCTCAACTAACATAAAGGTTTCAATCCAAGGTGAAGAGCCTTTAACGTCTTTTCTACATTTAGCTTGCTTTAATTGAAGAGGAGAGCAAAGCCAACAGCTGGTGAGAATCTGTTCAGCTATTTTTTTTTTCAATGCAAAGTCAATTTTGAGCAGTTCTTATGTTTTTCAAAAGAAATGGATTTGGAGCTAGGCACAGTGGTGCACACCTGTAATCCCAGCAGTTTTGAAAGCTGAGGCAGGAGGATTGCAAGTTCAAAGACAGCCTCAGCAATTTAGAGAGGCTCTGAGCAACTTAGTGAGAACCTGTGTCAAGTGAAAAATTAACAAAAAGGTTGGGGTTGAGGATGTATCTCAGGAGTCAAGCACTCTGGGGTTTTTTTATTCTAATTAGTTATATATGACAGTAGAATGCATTTTGACACATTGCATACAAATGGAACATAGGTGCTGAGTCACACTGGTAGTATAATCATACATGTAAATGGGGTAATAGTGTCTATCTCATTCTACCGTCCTTCCCATCCCCACCACCCCACCCCTCCCCTCACTCCCCTCTGCACAATCCAAAGATCCTTCATTCTTTCCTATTCAGCCCCCAACTATGGATAAGCATCCACTATCAGAGAAAACACTTGTCCTTTGATTTTGGGGGATTGGCTTATTTCACTTCACATGATATTCTCTAGTTCTATCCATTTACCTGAAAATGCCATAATTTCTTTCTTTAAGGCTGAGTAATATTCAATTGTGCATATGTACCACAATTTTCTTTATCCAATCATCGTTGAAGGGCACCTAGGTTGGAACTTCCATAGTTTAGCTATTGTTAATTGAGCTGCTATAAACATTGATGTGGCTGTGTCAATAGAGTATGCCGATTTTAAGTCCTTTGGATATAAACCGGAGAGTGGGATAACTAGATCAAATGGTGGCTCCATTCTAAGTTTTCTGAGGAATCTCCACACTGCTTTGCAGAGTGATTGCACCAACTTGCAGTCCCACCAGCAATGTATGAGTGTGCCTTTTTCTCCACATCCTTGCCAACATTTATTATTGCTTGTATTCTCGATAATTGTCATTCTGACTGGAGTGAGATGAAATCTTGGAGTAGTTTTGATTTGCATTTCTCTAACTGCTAGAGATGATGAACATTTTTTCATATTTGTTGATCAATTGCATTTCTTCTTCTGTGAAGTGTCTGTTCAGTCCTTAGCCCATTTATTGATTGGGTTATTTGGGGGTTTTTTTGTGTTAATTTTTTTTTAGTTCTTTATATATGCTGGAGAATAGTGCTCCATCTGAGAGCATCTCTGAGTTTAATCCCCAGTACTGAGGTGGGGGGAGAGGGAGAAGGAGGAAGAGAGAGAGAGAGAAGAGGAGAGAAGAGGAGAGGAGAGGAAAGGGGAAATATATGGGGAGTAGTCAAGTGTTTAGTGGTAGCTAATAGTGAGATTTCAGCCCCAAAGAAAAGTCATCCTGCTCTGAACTCAGGTCCTGTTCTTTAAGTAAGCACCAACCTCAACATTTTAGACTCAAACGTTTCAGTCTCCCTAAGGCAACTGAGAACTGAGAAAAATTATCCTTCCTGAACCTTAGGCTCCGTGAGGTTCCTTCAGACCTCGGTGCCTCTTCCAGACCTTCTCTCGTTATTCCATTTGACAGTAGTTTCCCATTTGATCCACACTGATTCTGCAGTTCTGGGTTGAGGATTCTAAGGCCTCTTCAGGGCTCAGCAGCAAACCGCACCATATTTCTGCTGCAGACACGAACAGGAATTTCTTCCCTGCCCTTTCTGATTGGCTGGGAATCCTTGGTTGTTTCCCATCACTAGGGC